ATATGACTGTTGGGGAGCACCTGGGGGCACAGGAAATTTGTGGTGGGTTACGCCTCTGCCTTACTCTCTTTACTTTGCCGTGTTAATTAATTAATGGCGCATACACTGTCCATCCTGATACTAGTAGATGCACGCGTATGTTTTGCGACTTACAATTCTCGCGGCTTATAACTCCGTTACTGAAAGGCCTTTTAAAGTTCGCGAGGCACAAGTTTGATGGTCGGACAGTTGTAATATGAGCCGTGAAGCGTTTGGACTGAAATAAAAGCACTGTTAGTGAACGGAGGCAGGTTTCAGTCCGCACCCTTGGTTCGAATATTTCCCTTTTTCCGGTCTGGCAGCTGTGCCAATAACTCCACATTTACTCCAAAGAGCCACGAGAGGCGGCGAAATGAATCGCGAAATTAATGTGCTGCTTTTATGTGACAATCGTGTAATTGAATACATCGCACGGTTTTATTAATTTAAGCACTTCCAGAGGCTGCGCAGATAGGAAATGATTGCAAATGCATTCATTGAAATAATATAATTTTCTGGCGCATGCTTCGAAGCTGAATACCGCACTTTTGGTAACCAAGACAACGTCCAATCGTAATAGTTTTGTCATGATCAAATAATGGGGTAAACTTAGAATAGTGTTCTCATGAAAAGGTATTGCAGCTTTCAGAGTAAAACTTGTACTGACGTGGTTTGTGTAGGGATCAGAATGAACGATATCGCTCTAGTAGCTGAGAAACATGAAAATTCCAGCATTTGAAATTAGTCAGGTGTCAGTCTCGACCCAGCTAAGCTCTGTGTTTCATTACACGTTTTCCCAAGGTTGAGATTAGCGTATCCTGCCCTGCGAAGAAGGATCAGTTGGTCCTGATGAAAGAATCAAACAAGTCAGGTCATCACTTCACACAACAGACGAGAAAGGATTCTTGAACTGTGTCACTTTAAAAAACTGCTTTAATTTTTTTTTAAAGTGGACTTCAATTCGAGGATGATGGTCGCATGGTTCTATGGGGGAACTTCAACCAATCGTTGTCCGGGCTGAGCCCTTTCAGGAACTATCATTCAGGGCCTAATGAGCATGTACAGTTCGAAAAAGTATCGATCGAATGCGAGGAGACATGAACCTTAGGGTGTAACGCAACCGTGAAAAATGTCCGCGTGATTAAACGCTGCATGTTACAAGCCACATACGTGGGAGAACAAATATTTTGGATTATTAAAGGTTTGTCATTTTACCCGAGGTAATCTTCATTCACGCCACCAGAATGACATTGAAAGTGTTCAGCATGTCACAGTATGAATGCCAATGAAAATCAATATGAATGTTAATGAAAAATGCACACGACGGAAAACATAGTTTGCTGCTGTGCGTTGGGTTGTAACTGATCGAAAAATAAGCAGCACAGATTGTTTCCTACGTGAACACACAGCCAGTCTGCTCACAGGGGTACATTTTCGTGGTGGACATTTGGGATCTAAAGTGGCCTCTTTTCTGAAAGCGCCCTCACATGGCATGCCGAATGAATCTCGAGTGCAACTTCTTTAGGATTTTTGTTCCAAAGAGAGGAATCCATTTATGTAGCAGAGAAGGAAGTGAGTTCAAAATATTGAGGGCATTTTTTAAAGGAATTTTATTTCAATTTTGTAGTCTCCTTTCAGAGTAAGAAAATGGTGGTTGCACTCACTGCATCGTAAACCTGCCAATGGCAAGCACACGCTCAGTGGAAGTGTCCATGCATCTTATCAGTGGTCGAGGTAAAATGAAATTAGCGAGGAAGGACCCTACATTGCAGTTTTTAGGTGAAATGACGTAGGGGGCCTAAAGTGTACAGAATGACGCGTGCAAGTGTGTGAAGTCGTTATTTTTTATTCGATTCTAATAGGTATATGAGAGTCGATCGATTGGAGGTATGAAATTTCGCTTTGACCAACCAAGCACGGCGTGTTAATACGTCAACTGCGGATATGAAAATTAAAACGTTCTTAAAAGTGTGTACACGCCCTCCGTGGCATAAATGAGGAAAACTGTGCATGTTTACACGTTATCCAGCGCCAATTTTTTAAACCAGTTTGATCTGTAAGAGTTGTGTGGAAGGACAGTGCCGAAGAAAAGGGGTGTAGTAGCTTCGTCTAAGAACAAGGGAATTTTACTCTACGGTGGCCCCGGGACGACATTTTGATGTTAACCGTCGCCAGATTAGACTGAATAACCTCTGTGACAAACACAAGAATTAAATCTCTTCAGATTCTGGCACCACTGTCCTGTTTTCACCTCTGTTAAAAATTATTGATGCCCATGCAGATATCCTGCCATACAGGTTTGGCAAAATGCACAGGGAATGTGTCAGCACACTAGGAGGTTCTAAATCGTTGTTGAAGAAACTGGTTTCATTTGTGTTCTTTCTTTGTTTCAGCTTAGGCCCTGCATGCCCCCCCCCCAAAAAAAAATATTCAACTGCTCCTGTTTTGAACACGCTGCAGTTTCAAGAGACGTTGACGCAGTTGATGGCCGCATATGGAACCAGTTGTGAGGACTCATGTTGGATGGGAAAAAGAAGCGAGATCACTTATCTTTATTTCATTTCATATTCATACAACAGCGCCAGCACCAATTTGGATGACGATTAGTGACAATAAGAAATGGTCAGATTTTGTGATGGGAGAAAATCAAGAACAAATATTCCAGGAACACTCTGAAAACCGTACGTAGCAATTAAACGCGGTCTTGCCATCACTTTGTAAACATCATTAGCAGCCACACATTATGTGTTAAATTCTCGAACGCCGATACGCGGCATTTTGTGTCCCTCAGTGCTCTAAATTTGTTCATAATGTTGAAATAGTTTTCAAACTGAAAACAGGAAAACAAGGTCAAAAAAGGTTTTCTCGAGTCTGTTGTAGTGATAAAAAGTTCTCGGCCTTTGAGAACGCGTTAACGCGTTACCTCTTTTGCTGTTTCTCTATGTATACTAGATGGATATAAATTTTCTGAGATCTTGTCACAAGACAATTGCTTACAATTTATGTCCCAGGCCCTTCTGTTGGCAAAGAATAAAATGTAATTTTTGTGCTTCTAACCAAATCCTGGCCTACAAACACGTGCAGTCCATCCCCCTGACGGGGATTCACTCAAATCTCTTTTGGTCCTGCCTCGAAGATAGAGACAACCAGGCATCTTTTCCACTTTCTGTTCATATCAGCTCTACTTTTTGCTGTAGGAAAGAGCTGTATGTTTTAACGTGAAGTTAAACCATAGAGCTACAACCCTGGGTTGTAGCTCTATGGTTAAACATACAAGCTGGAGTTCTTCAAGGCATTCGTGCCTCTGGATTCTTTACTATTATGAGATCTTAGTTTGGAGGCTATTACCTAGACGCTCGGTAAGACAATTAAAAAACCATCAGATGGTCTTCGTCATGAATTGATTTGTTTGATCGGCCAACGCAGGATACGAATTGTTGATGTCTGATATATTGACCATCGAGTATTTCGTATTAGTTACTTTCCGGAGCAGAGATTGAACAGGCGTCAGTATTGTTTGAAAGGAAGTGAACAACCGTGCCTAGCTCTGACAGTTCGGGATAAAAGTAAACATAGAAAGATAAATTTGGCGAGGGGCTTCAGATATCGGGGGGGGGGGAGTGTGTCGAAAACGTTAACATAAATTATTATTTTGTCACTGGTGGTGCAAATTTGTGCAGGCAATTAGGGGGCACGGGGATGGGGAAAAATGAGGGGATGACACGAAAATCTGAAAAGTCGGGGGGGGGGAGGTGACACAATACAGAGGTCGATGTTCATGATAGGAATGTAGGCCTACACATCTGTAATATGTATTCAAAATGGCATATTCGTGGCTTTTTAAAATTGTTATTTCCTTTTTGAGTAATAATAAATGCATTTGTCGTTGGTAGTCTGAAAAATTCGGGCAGAACAAACTTTAGTTTTTTACTCATGGCAAAAAGTGGGGGAGAGGTTGATTCAATAGCCCATCCCCCACTTCAGAAAGTGCGTGCGTGTGGGGGGGGGTACACGCCCCCATCCCCAGGGATTTAGGCCCATATGCATGTTTGCCACTTAGTTCCTTTTTCCCATGTTATGTTCTTAAATGTCACCAGTAAGCGTCTTGTGCTTGCCACGGGAGAAAGCCGGATGAATGACAGTCCTACCTAGAAATTTAAAATAATTGTTTTCCAACTAATGTATTGAATATTATACATTTCCCGCGGTTCGTAGCAAAGCTGGAAATTATTGTCTTGTATTCGAATAACACCTGGCTTCTGATTGGTCAGTAGGCAGGTGTGTTATGTAATCTAGAATGTCAGGATGGGAGTTTTAAAGGGGGCCAATGGAATTGGTGATAAATTTATTAGGTGAAGTCCAACATCAACACGGAGAAGAGCTCTGGCAGTTTTGGGGCACAGGTTTCCAGAGCCTTTTTGAAATTTTTATCTCTGGTTTTTCCAGGACGTCGTTGTCTCCAATGAAGTGGTTCTAAAATATAGAAAATGACATTCAGTCAGAAGTAAACAGGATGCATGGTTTTGCTCGCCAAATGGTAACATATGTTGTGTCAAAGACAGCTAAGAGAGAAACTGTTCATTTTGCATTCAGACTGGGGTATGTAGATAGGAGTACAAACGAAAATATCCTAATGGATTTTATCAGAGAATGTTTCCGTGACAAGGCTTAATAACGACTTCATTCACATTGAGCAGTTGATGTAAATTTTCCATGATAGGTTTCAGATATCCTGTATAGAGGCGAGGAACGAGCGTCAATTCTCGTGCAGCGCTATCGCCAATATTAAGAGAGATGAGTTAAGTGTTTTATCGTGTAAGTAAAGAGAAGACGGCCATTTTTCTTTGAACATCCACCATCGTGTTCCTCAGTTTCTTGGTTGTCACAGCTGCTGTACGTGACGTTCCCAAAGACACTACCTGATCATGATGTTGCATATAGGCGTTTCGACTTGACGTAACGGTATAAATAAATAACCGGAGTAATTGAAAAGTTGCTCTTTGCGGCCAGCATGAGTAGGCTACTGGAACGGGTGTTGTCAACACTGCCTTTCGCTTTAATCTAACTCGTGTCTTTGATAACTCCCATCTTTGCAAAATCATTCATATGCAATTCATTCCATGTTGGAAATGAAGTGACGTCGAAAAGGCAGACGCAAGTTTATATTGAATGTCTCCCTTTCAAACAACAGAAAATCGGACTAAATTTGTCACATTTACTGTTGGAATTTGTTGGAAAATAACTCAGACTTCCTCTTATTCAGTGGCCGTCTGTTCAATCACATCTGGCCACTGTCTTATTTTTTATTATGGTCACCTTTTTTCACTGGGTCATATTTTTTTACTGGGCAGGGGGCCGGACTCAGAGAGGACTATCCCACGCTGAAAACGTGGAGGGAGGCTAGAGTCTCTCGCCGTGGACAAAGTCTGAAAACGTGCAAGGGCACATCATTACTTGTATGGATCAGGGAACAAAGCATATCCACACAGCGCAGAGAGTGAGCAGGTTTGGGAGACTTCCCCTGGTCCACAAAACTTGTCACCCTCCCTGAAAAAAACAGGTGTAGGGGGCTAGGCTTATCTGCAACAAAACGAAGAGGAGCAGTCAGGAAAAACATCAATAATGATGCAGCTTAAAATATGGGCCCAGTGTTGGCAGTGCAAGAAAAACGAAGGTTCATTTCATCGCAAAAGAAAGGAAGGTCCACTTTCCACCGGTGTCCTGTTCTTCAATCGGCCCTTTTGCTATACGCCGGCGGCACGCACTGGGAAACAAAGCGGTTCGGTGTCCACAAATTGAGGATTTCCTTCGCGTTCCATTTCCCACGCTTGATCATTAATCAACAAACATAAAATTTGAGAGCAAGCCAAAAAGCTAATCCCCTGCTTAAAGCTGCAAATGTCGGGGCAGTATACCCCTTGCAAACGATGTCAAAAGCCCTCTCAACGGAAAACGTGGGTGGATTGAATCGAGTTGTACAAATCTCAGTAACCAGGAAAGCGCAGAGATTTCGGGATCAAAAAACAGTGCTAGTCGGTATATGGAAAAGTCTCCGACTGAAGTCAATTATGGATAAAACAGTAACCAGTAATCCATATAAACACTGCGAACACTATCCCTATAGGAAAACACCAGGACGGGTGCTGTTCTATATGAACGCTGAGGGTGTTAAATGAAACCCCAAATGAACCGGTTTTGCAGTGAATAATTTGTTTCTTTCTCAGGTCTTCAGCCACGGACGTGTATAATAAAATCTGGACTCGCAGTGCCCTTAATCAGCTTGTAGAGTCATTGAATCCACTTGCGGCCATTTTACCGAGCCAAATACAAAGCTTTCCTGGCAATGCCCGCCTTTGTTCTTCCCAATAGAAGGGAGCCAACCCACGCATTTGTATTCGGTTTGGTAAAATGGCCGCTGGTTGGCTTCTTTTCCAGGTTTTTTTTTCATATACGTCCGTGTCGTCAGCCATTTAGTCCTACAGGTTTTATTTTTGTAATGAAGTGGCTGTTGGATGTATATCTTTGTTTTTATAAAAATCAATGACTGGAAAATTTCCTGATAGAGTCTGTGCAATAAATAAGTTGAAATCAAGTTCAATTATGCTGGTGTTGAGCTTGTGTTGTGCTATATTGACAAGTACAAACATGACGGATTTTTTTAAATTCCGTTTCCTTGTATGCATCATTAAGCATTCTGCGTAGCTTTCAGTTTTTAGCAGCCTTTTGTCGTGATGTCGAGCGTTCTCCAGCTCTGCCACCAGCTGAGGAATTTAATAAAAAAAAACCTCCTGCTCATTATATCAGATGATTAAACTCACTGTTGGCCAAAACTAATAAATGAAAGGTGTTACTAAAGCACAGCGTGGCGCACAGTTCCTCATTGAAGAAAGTGATAGAATAACATTCTTACAACCTTCAATATCCGTTGCGTGTGGTACTGGCTCTTACAGATGAGGTCTCGTTCCAAAATGTCCACCAGAAATATGAGTACATATATCTAAATGTACATATATTTGGATCTGCCAAAAACTTTCATAAAGGGTGAAACAATAACGTACAGAATAGTCCAGTACTATCCCCACTTTTAAACATGACCTAGACCACTAGACGTCTTTACAAAACATTAACTATCGTACTTAACAGGCATTGGCTGCTTGGTGATTGAATTCAATACACATGCGGCACTAGCTTGTGGGGGGGGGGCACAGTAGTAAGTGAATTCAAAACACATTCTAGGTTATGGGATTAGTGGAAACTATCGGATGTGTTTACTTCTTGTACAATGGAATCACCTTCGTGTGGTGAGGTGCAAAGATGTGGTTTATAAACACGCGTGCGCTTTACTGCTCGTTGTGCATTGTGTATGAAACACCAACTATAAATGCACAAATCACCAAATCATAAATTACTTTTTTTCGATGAAAGCTAAATTTCATAACGGAATATACATTTCCGTGACAAAAGGTAGGTGTAGGCCTATATTGAAATTAGCCCAGAAAAATCACGTAGATTTATTCAACTGTTGCGGCGCTAAATTTCATCCATATTCCAGGAAAAAGACATGGCCAATAATGCGTGACTGTTTGGCTCAGAATCTGACATAACTATGAATTTCATTCAACACCCCCCATTAGAAGGTCAATAATGGTCAATACTGGCACAATGCACAACATTTAATGTTACATTACACTACAGTGATAGTTTTACACGTAACTGTACGCGTATACCCTGTTTTAGCGGACAACGGTCTCATTAACGACGGTGTGGAACATGCAAAGTGTTCAATGACAGTCACACTCATTGCAAGTTGAAGTCCTAATGTCGATTACAATGTACAGTGTAGTTGAAGCGTTCTTTCAACGAAGTTAGAGTCATTTCCATCTCAATCACACTGATTGCGAGAGACATGCGTTGACCAAAGCGAGGTCTGTGTGTCCTTCGAGAACAGCACCGAGGTTGAAATGTTTCTGTTACGAGAAAAATTCGTCTTCAGTTCATTGCATGGTGGTGTTGCTGGTCGTGAGGTTCATGCGTCACTGCTTGTCTGCCAAGAGAGTTTTTATCCGTTTATGAAAAAAGAATTAATAAAGAAAGTTTAATTTTCGAGTGATGAGACCGTATTATGTGGTACACCAGAAAAGAGGGTTTACACAGGATTATTCATTGAGGGAGCAATGGAGTCTGCTCGGGTGACAGCTGACGACGGAGGTGCCACCTTGTTCTTGCTCCACTTACCGGTTCCCTGAACGGCCAGCAAGATGACGATGACAATGGACACCTCGAGCAACCGCTGGCAGGTCTGGAAGATCATCCATCTCCAAGGGGCGGTGTAGCCACTCCGGAAGTGGGAGACGTAGATGGAGACCACCGCGTAGAGGTTGATGGAGGTGAGAGCCAGGGCGATGACCGAGCAGGCCAGGACGATGTCGTTGAGGCGCTTGAGGCGCCCGCTCTCCTGCACCCCGACCTCCTGGCTGGTGACGCAGCCTTGCGAGTTGGCCACGATGTGGCGCATCTTCCAGGCTACCACCAGGAACCCGATGCCCAGGAGGCAGCCCCACAGGATGAACATGGCCTGGCAGACCAGAAGGGCATACTTGGTGGAGTTGTCGTAGGCGACGAGGAAGTCAGCCACAAAGACGAAGCAGAGAGAGGGCACGACGATGGCCGCGAGGACCCCTGGCTTCTGGAACTTGGGAGGGGCCAGAGACATCTTGGTTGTCTCCAGGAGAACGAGGAGAAGCACGCTGACCGATGCCGTGATAAAAGGCCAGCCACACGACCACAAGACTGGACCTAGGGGGCAAGGTAGGACTTTTCGGGTTCCATACGGATCTGCATACAGAAAGATGCAGCGAGTGACGCAGGAGACCAGGACCAGGCCGTGCAGTGTGGAATTCAGGCGCGGGGTTTTCCTATTCCCGCGGTATTCTGCATTCTCCCGTGCTGAGCCCTTGGAACACCCGGTGACAAACCACACTATGATGTAGATGGAGAGACAGAGGTACAGAGTCGGGAAAAGATAGATGTGCGCTGGCCATGCCCATTGCCATTCCTCGAACGCCGCCGTCCAATTGGGTGTGGGTGCGGGCCATCGACAGCGCGGCCCGGCAGCCGGCGACGCGGCCGTAGTGGCGCTCACCTTGGTCTGGTTGGAACACTCCGCGGCTTCAGTGGTGATGGAAAAGTTAACGCTATCCATCATCGGCTGTCCTGCCACTTCATAGCCTTGTGTGGTACTTTCAACGGATCACGTTTGCTCGAGGCTTTTATTCCCCTCCTGCTGATGACAACAGCTTTTACCAGGAACTTTCTACAGGTGTAGCTAAGCTACCGGTCCCTCCCCGGAAACAAACAATTCAGCGGCATCCCGTCATCCGTTATTATTGACCAAATAGTGGACACGGTTCCTGACTGGTCGAGGCGACGTGTAGTTCACAACTTTGATTCGATCATAGTAAATATTTTTCTCAACCCCGTGGCGGTGGTGCGCGCGTCTCCCTTTCGAATTCAATTAGTCAGCAAATACGAATATACACCCGCGTTGCCTCTCCCTTGTTGACATGCGCTAAATTCGACGATTGCTCATAGTTTAATTACTCTCCACTTCGTCCACTTAGGCATGTGGGCTCCTGTCTCCGTGCCTACATAACAAGCAGTTGCATGTCTCGCATGGTCATCCGTCAGAGGTGTGGCAGGCTCGTGCAACGCGCATAACGGGGCCTTTGAGATCGGGACGAGACGCACGAAGTCATTGCCGAGACGTTGCAAGCGCTCAATCGAGGAAAGCATAAGGGACCCCGCCTTCGGTTAACGGTGTCGTAACTGCACAGTATTCATCATCAGCCAAATTGTTCGTATGACTGCACGTCATGTGGTTTACTCGACAGCTGTTCCATCACAGCCTATTCTTCTACACTTCTTCTCCTCATGGTGTACCTGTATTTCACTGTCCTTTGCATCATCGCAGATGACAAAGTCTTGGCTACCAACCGCTGAATTCGAATACATTAATTTAGCGATCACTGAGAGGAAAAAAAAGACCTTTCGGCTGATCAAAATAACCCCATGGGTGGGGAACGACTTTAACCCCTTTATGATACATGTGTTCCATTATAGGTCGTCCCATTCGCCGGCTAGGTGCACTCACTGGCCTGGTATTTTGAAAATTTACATCATCCTCAGTCAAGTGCATTATTTTCCCTCTGAAGATGAAGGCTGCATGTGTTCACTGCCTAACTAAAATGATTTCTCAAGGTGAGGTAAGACCACCATCGAAGCTCAGCACTAGCCATGCGCTGCTTTTGTTTTTTGTGGTTCGCAGCGGTACCGATTGAAGCGACGTCCAAGTTGTAATGGCTTGTAAATTCGGGGTAGGAAAGGGGCCGTTCTGAAGACTTACATTCTCCAATGTCACAGCCTTCATCCAATCTTCATCGATGATGCCGTGTCTATTCCAGGGTTGAAATATGTAGCCCCACTGCGTTTTTCCTGACATTATGTTGAGGGTTGAAGGATGGTGTCTTTCATTTCAGTGTTCCAGTCTACAGCAAATAAACAGTAACTCCAACCAGTCGATACAGTTACAAAATAAGGCAATATACGATCATGCTTTCTCCCACATTTCTCCGAATCCACTGTGCGTATACTCCTCTTCTTCCAGCGGGGCATTTACGAAACTAAACGTGATTAGAGCGGCCAGCAGTAGCATTCATTACGAGAGGGACATCTTAATCTGATTTTACCATTATTGTCACTTGATCTGTTTATCTCGCGGTTTAGTTGGAAGCTCCAGGAAAGGATTTTTGTAAGGAGAACCACGACAATACTCTCTTGAAGACGTCAACCGTCAGGCTTGGTTTGGCCGGAATAACAAGTGCCTCTGCACAATGATGCAGGCTAAACTAAGCCAAACTACGGACCATTGGCCACACAGACCGTGCATGGGCCTGACTTTCACATTTGATTCTCAGTATCTGATTGACAGTCGGTTTACCCATTGAATTAGGGGGAGTTATTGACTGGACACGTCACATCAGATCTATGTGCCTCATTAGGCACAGAACTGATTCGTCAGAACTGGTCATACAGACATGATTGTGCCAAAAATACTGTATTCAGTAATCCAATACACGTGTGTTCCAACTGCCGTTTAGGCTTTACGTTTATTGTAATTTTGTCACTGATTTCAGCATCTCAGCATGTTTAGTTTCAGTGATCTTACTGAAGTTACGGGGACCCAGCCCTTATCAGGTTTGAGTCATTTTTAGTGGGACCCTATAGTGGGACCTAATGAATGATTTTCCGTTAGCAAAAATAGAAACGTGCTGTGTCTTTACTTGTAGCGTTATTATGGGGGTGGGGAGTGCCCCCCCCCCGCGGATGCTTGTGCCCTCGGGTGCCCCCCCTGAAATTTGTGAATACAAAATTTGCAATGTAGTGCAGGTGCAGCTTAATTTTCTTGTAGCACCGCTTTGGGAAAATGTGTGCAACCCTGGGTGCCCCCCTGGAAATTTATCCCTAGTTACGCCACTGAACTGAAGTGTGAATTCACATTGTGATAGTCAACCAACATACTGAGACCTCTCGCTAAGTTAACGCCAAAGTTTACACAGCGGAAATGCGGGAAATGTGGTTTTTCCTTTGGAGCGTCGGCATACCACACAGCCATGTAATGGCAATACCATCGCCGTTGTTGGTTTGTCACGGTCAGAAATGACGTGTGCATTGGTGTTACCATGGTATTTCAATGTAAAAATGCCTTCCTGGACTGACGTTGAGTGATCAACGAGAACAGCCAACAACTACGTAGATTCCTCATAATTATTGTGATTTAACATATACGTGGAATTTGAAGCAACTAATCGTTAATATTTCTTCATATTTTCACTGACTGTGATCTCTTCGCAGTCTAGGAAGTTGGATCGAAGGAGTTGGCCATTTGTCTGTTACAAGAAGTCCATTCCGCTCATTCGACGTGGGATTGCTTCGACCCCAGACACGGGTGGCTCGAGTTCAAGCGTCTTTTCCTTCTGCTATTAATAGACGTCTTTAAGAGACGCTTCCGCTCTAAATTGAATATACATTATACATTCTACATGTATACGGGGAACAAGACCCAACCACCACGCTGTTTTCTCCAGTGTGTTAGTCATCGATTTCAAACCAGGAAGTGTTGCTCGCAAACGGCGAATAAAATGTCGAATCTTTATCTGCTATTCATGCAAAGAAACGACTTTGGGGCGAAGCATATTACGGAGACATCCAAGACAGGCATACATTTGTTTTATATGAAGCCATTTGGATATTGAGTAACTGTGTTATACTTAATTATCACAGATACAGGCATTATTCATATTCTGGGGGCAGGTGTTGTCCTTCGATAGTGCACACATTGATATCCCATAGGCTGACTACAAAGTGTAAAGCCACATCAACACCACGTTCATCATCAGCATGTATATAACCTAATTAGTAGACTTCCAGATCCAAGTTTAAAGCCCAGTTTGCAGTTAGTCCGGTTTGTAGTCAACTTTTCTGTCCTTTATTCAAAGGGCGAGGAGCACACAAACCAAAACATTTCCCTCGTTCCCAAACCTCAGCCTCTTACAGGGCGCAGGGAAAGTTTAATGCCTTTCCCACATTTTGCGAAGGAAATGCGTCACAGGCACGCGTGAGGTCTTGTGGGCACCAGATCAATACATGGGTTGGTAATTTTTGTCGAGCACACAGTTCAGAGAGATGCCAGAGTCGTATATAGAAAGAGTTACGCCAACTTCAGACTTTGGAACCAAAATGGCTGTTCATTATGCGTGCAGTACAGCATGCAGCTGTTGTGTGCTAAGTGTCCATGTTCACTGACACAAAATCCACCATTTTGGTTCCAACAATTGAGGCACTCATGTCGAAACTCTCTCTCTGTCTCTCTTTACATATTATCAAGATGTATTTTTTTTTTTTTTTTTTTTTTTTTTGCGTTGGGGAGATGTTAATTATATATAACGGGTTTGCCCTTACGTTGGGTAAGGGCAAACCCGTTATATATAATTCTCTTTACATAGTTCTTAGTGATGCTAATCTACTTGAAAAGAAACAAAAGGAAACGCATATGGTGCTGCCAATACATCTATAACGGTAATTGTCATACGTCTATGGCGTCATGCACACGCATTAAACCAGTGTTAAAACCTGGCAGTCAGGCGGACGAATCCCATGGAGAACTCGAACCAATAATGCACGCTTCTTGAAGAACAGATCGTTAGTTTGTCCTGCATAAAGGAACAAGACAGTGATCTCCATTTTAAAATGTCTGGATGGCTCGCTTTGGTCGTTCTGAGGTGTACGAAAGAGTGAAGCGCGCTTCGCTAGCAGTCTCTCCACATTGGAATGTGAGGGGGAGCCAGTCGCAACTATTCCCATCAATCCCAAAAATTTACAAATACGTGTAACGGTAACAGCGGGGACACTGAATTCACTTCTAATGGCTTACAATCGCTCCATATCCTATTCTTTTAATCAATTTTTTTCATTCGCATTTGTTTACGTTGACATCAGCGGTAAAACGAAGCACACAGAAAACCTGTAGTCATGTCTTGGTACATTTTTCAGTTGAGGGCGTCCTGCAATGCACAAAGAGTGAAACATTCCGAGTCCGACCCGAGTTCAAATCAACTGGCTGTAGCTTATAGAGTAACACAGTCATCTACGGTAAGTGGGTGCAGCCACTCGCAAACAGTTTCAATATAGGTGCACGTATTATTTTAGCCACAGTCGTAACTTTGAGGCATGGCATTCCATGCAATTATTTACAAGTCACATCATGAACTATAATCATCTGTTATACATGCACATTTTGGTAAAATCCTTGCTTTAATAGAGAAATACTTATGGAACAGCATAGATCAGTCTGTAAGTTTGTTTTAAATTTTAATATACAAATTAAATTTTGTGGCATTATTTACATAAAATGTTGGTTTATCAAAACGCCCGTATACTCTTTGATTCTGCTGACCTTCATATAGTCTTATACAAATCTTTGTCGAAGTACGTGACAGGTAAAAATAACAAATATATATTATCAAATAATAAGCGCAAGATTCAGCCATGAAATCATCCGCATATGTAATTTTATGGTTAAAACGTTACCATTTGCACAGTAAAACTGTAAAATCAATGACAGATGGCAATCAAAATAGCAACACCATTGTGTTATCATGAGTGGAAATTGAATTATTTTCTCAAGGCCTGTCGACCGACAAGGAAAATATTAGAGAATCTTTAGAAGCCTGGAAAGGACTGAAATGATCACCAGGCAAAATGTCAAATTCAACTTTTGTGCCTCAGTGTTGGGACGAGATGTACCACTCAGAGCCGGAGGAGGTGTGCCCGAACAGGCACACTGCATCCCTTCGAACCACTCCGGGCAAGTCCCGCCAGTGCTACACAGGTAGGCCTTGTTTGCTTCCCGTTCACCGCTCTGCAAGGCGCCCTGGATGTGACCGCCGAAGTTGAGACTGGTGTACTCGCCAGCGAAAAGCAACCTCCCGAGTCGGGCCTGAACCTTAGCGAAGCAGTTGGAATTCAGCGTGGGTGAGAAGAGGCTGTGGGAGCCCATGGTGAGCGGGTTGCTGTTCCAGCCCGAAACGTGGATGGCGATGGGGTCGGGGATGTTGAACTTGTACATCCGCCGGAGAGCCCGCATGATCTCATTGCTGGTCTGCTGAGGGGACTGAGCGTCGATTCGACGGGCCTCGTCACCGGTGATTTCCGCCATCAGGACGTGACGGTCACTCCGACGGAGTTCGGGGACTGCAACAAAATAATAACAAATAAACAGTGGAAAATTGTAGAGTAAACGTGAAATAATGATTGCAGATTTCATGAACTTGATGGCAATTCATTATGTATACACATCTCTGGAACGTACTTGTTTTATAATTTGTCTAACCTTACTCATAAAGTTTATCCAATACTATATTAGTCACGACCGATGGAAAACAGATCGTGTAAAGTGACGGTTAATAGTGCTAGACTATGTCGTTCAACATGGCATTATTCGGAAAACACCTGTGCTGCAGTTGATTCTATTCATATGCAAATAACCAAGGAAACTTTGGGCGAAATCATTTTGAGCGGGGGAAACTAGTTTCAGGAAATCAGACGATTGCTCATTGTGTTAAATTTATCCAGAAAAGTTAAACGATAAATGCTTCTACACATAGCTTGTAAGGGTGGTACAGAAATTAAGGTTGTGGTTCCAAGAAATTTTTAAAGACACAAATACCGAGATCATATAATAAACACAGTTTAACACCTCTCAAAATGCATGTCTTCCAATTTATCGATCGTCAAACGCACTCAGCCCGCTGTATATGTTGACTAAACCTCATAACAAGACGTCTGTTCAAAGGTAAAGTTGACGTTTGAACGATCAAGACAGAAAAAATGTTAGACGTTTTTGTCATTGACTGTCTCAGCTCCTTGTTATGGAGCGTTTTGATAAAGCCGAAGACCTCAGGACGTGGCCTAGTGGGTGTGCTAAGGACGGTGACACAAATCGAAACAGTAAAACAACTTCCATTTTATTCGAAACTTTTGGACAGACTTACTCCTCTTTCCAAGATCGACAAACAGCGGGAAGTGGCCTCTCCGTTCGGACACGCGCAAGACGAACTCCCGGCTGCCCCAGAAGGTGTTGGGGAACTCCATGAGGACTTTGGTGTGGGCGCCCATGGTGAAGCGGTTCAACTCGCGTGTCTTCCAGCCGGGAAACTCCGGCGTGAACTTGACGATTTGACGTTGGAGTACGCCGAGGCTGAAGGTAGAGATAGCCCAGTCGGCCTGGTACGACGAGCCGTCTCGGCAGGTGACGGTGATGTGGTTGGGACTGCCGTAGTTCACCTCAACCACCTCTTTGTTGAATAGAATTTTGTTCCTGAGAATGTACATAAACATCGTTTACAGCACTTCAGAGTTCTCAATATTTACGGTGGTCCAGCTCTCAAAGAAAAAAGGTAAGAATTTTTCTTATTGCTTAAGCACAGGATTCGTCTACTGGTCTATAGGTTTCTGTTGCGCCTTGCAAGTGAAGAAGTAAATGATTTCAAAGCAAATGATGTTGCAGGACTTAGATTTTTAATATTTATCCTGGATAATCTTTACATTGAAAAACTCAACCCATTGTTTAATGTCGTTCCACGTGCAATTTAGTACAAATTGTATCGCCCGATGATATCGTCGGTCAAGTTCGGGCGGCCTGTTCTTGACACGGGTTTCTTGTTCTCGCGCTCGAAAGGCGGGAACATGACTCAAGATCACTGTTCTCTGGACAGAGTCACACACTACCTCCTCATCAGGGTTTTACAGGAACACACGAAAAAAATCGCGAGATTTTGATTTTTGAACAGCTTCAAAGGTAGAGAGATTGCTTCCAAAGCCATAGACAACGGGAAGTTGTGCAAAATTAACATTAATTATTTTCCGTAACACAGAAATGAATGTTCCTGTTTACATGGAAAAGAATTCAGCCCCTCCAAACATTAACTCTCAAATAACGTAGCCTACATGGACGCCACCATGTTGAATGTTGCTTGTCACTAACTACCAGCGATAACCGGTTGTTTGTTCCTGGCGTTCGAGCGGCCAATCCGCGAACAACAAATCGAGCTGTTCGTGAACATACGGGAGCAAGCCGCCCGAACTGGTCCGAAGAAAATACCGTATTGTTCTCTTGTTTGCTTCCTGCTGACTGAGGGCGCTGTAACTATTTTGTAGTTTACCAGAAATGTACTTCAGCAGCAAATACTTTTAAATGTAAAACTTTAAAGATGCGTTCCGGTAAAAGTAAGAATTCAAGTGCAGAGTCTGATTTTGCTGAATGTGAAAGACACAAACGTACGAGGTTAAACAGAGCAAACACAAACCTGTGCATAGGGTCCTTCATGAGGCGCATTGTGGCGTCAAAATAAGACTTGAAGCCTCGTTGATCGGTCACCTGCAGGTGAGGATTAGCATTCGGTCCTCGCTGGACGATAAGCTCTGGTGCGTCAAAACGATGAGCTTTAAGGGAGGCCATCTGAAGAATTGTTACAACCACAGTGTAAAAAATTTATGCTCTTTGGAAAAAATCTTTAATGTTGCGTGTGTGTGAACAGGTTTACAGGTGGAGAACTCCTGAAGAGAAATGTTCTCATGTTGACGGATTCCCCACGTGTGTTGGGGCAGAAATGGACATTATAAACCACGAAAGGGCATTTCCCTTTAGCCAAGAGTAAGTTTGATCACAGAAGAACCATTCTAGGACTGATTTAGAAGTTTGAAATTTTAAATTGAGTGGGGTCAGGGGGGGGGACCTCCGTGGACCAGGGCTCTTCAAGAAAGTGCATGCCTCTTGAATAGCCCCCTCGCACACGCGATTAATTTAACTTACACTTTCTGTGACGTCACTCTTTTTTTAAAGGGGAGGCCTAGAATATTTTTACGAATAAAACAAAATTGTAGATGTGTAACGAATCGAAAGTTTTTGAAGGTAACTGTAGGTTTGTAACGACGAACCTCATGATCACTCCTCGAGATGAAATAGCCCATTTTGTTTGATATGAACTTAACCGGCCTGTGGCGGTTAACATACTGAAGTTTTGGAGTGACAAAAAAGTATAAAAATGTAAAAAATAAATATTCTCCAAATATTCACGATGGCAGAAGTAAATCTACTGTTAGATATTTTCTCTGTTTCCTGGTCACAGCAATAAGATTAATTAAAACACCACAAATATTGCTAGGATATTACTGGTCCCACTAGTCCGGCTAAGCTGCAGGCAGTAATCAGGCATTTTAAGAAGTTAACTATTGTTCCTCAGACCGCTCGGCGATGATCATCGAGCACCTTGAAGCGCCAGAGTTGTATCTCCTTCTGTACCCTTTCTCCATGTTAACACGAATCTCTAGTACTGTTCCTCCTCCATTCTCCTTGACGTACTCACCCGTGGTACGTCTCCCATTTGATAATCAAAGTGCAGCCACTCCAGTGTCTTATCCAGTGGGGAGGTCGGGAACCAGCCAAGACTCTGAAAGGCCGCCCTCACCGACATGTCTGAGTCGTGCGATTCGATTAGTTCCTCGGCTAGATTTAAGCCCTCGATCACGGTGTATGCAACCTGCAACGAAAATAATTATAATATGTTAATTTTGACAGGTTTATTTGACCTTTCAACACATTCTAAAATGCTGAAAACGGTACCAGCCCGAAAAAGGACGATTTTAATTTAGTGGAGCTTTTTAAAAATAATCTTTTTAAACATGACTTATTAACTATCAACATGACGGCAACGTGAATGACTGACAGTGAACACCGGAATAAAGTAGGGCAAAACTACATCGTAAAAACCTCTCTCGAAGATTTGCATGCGAATAAATCGTACCGACTGCAAAATCAGACTGGAAAGTCAGGAATTGAATCGGATCTTAAAAATCAAAATGAAATAATGAAAAACAATATGACATCCAGTTGTGTTTAAAAGATACCTTCAAACCACACAATCATGAGCCGCAGCGTAGACCTTAATGCTCTGTACTGTTGAAACTGCTAAAACTCAAACATCCCCTGTTGTTTTACCCAGCTTCCCCTTCATTATTGAGTATTTCCTGCCACCTTGTATGTGACCTTTTGTTCTCCTTACTATCCTTCGTGTTTATCAAATCGGAGGCTACAATCTTAATCACTTTTCATTCCTAAAACCCGATGATAGGTGAGGTTTAAATAACCTTGCCTAATTTCTACGGTGCCCATATACCCATGATGCGGCCTTACATCCTCTTGATACTCCGGAAATAAAATTTAATTGGGTAAAATCTGGATATTTGAATTTGTAAAAACATCCTGTCGTGGCAATAGGTTCTATTACTTTTCATGGAATATGTCAGGGGAAAATTTATTCAGAGGTACTGCATCCTAAACATTTAGTAGTGATTGTACAACCGCTGTGCCAACCTCCGTAAAAAGCATCCCTACCTGTATGCTAGTGGACATCATATTCAAAATTTCCTCCCACGATTTGATTGCAGTTAACAAGTTTTTAACCGAATTTAAATTCATTCTAGCTGTCTTTGAAATACAAATTGCCTAGCTTTATAACTATAACTTCAACGGTATGCTGGATAATCAAATGAAATTTCAGTTAAGCAAAAAAAGCCACGCGTTCAGACCTCTCATGATTTACAAAATCTTATTTCTCTCATCCCTACACGCACCTTACTTTTCACAGACAAATCTGGGGTGAGTAAACTAAATTAATCTTAATGCGTGTTGTGAAGAATGAACGGATAATGAAAGAGCCTTATTTATATCTACTATAATGCTTATAAAGTTACTACTAACTCTCACTATGAAGCTCTTTTTATCATCCAAGTCTGTGGTGAAAAGAGTTAATTCAGTTTACAAAACAGCGATTGACAGTTTTATGGTATCTTTGCCCCAGAAGGACATCATTTTTGGATGATAAGATGCAATCATTCAAACAGGAAAGGCAGTGTTGTATTGCTATGCTGATATAGCAGGTTGATGGCTGTGTCCGGTGACAGAACTTTGAAGAGCGTAACGATCCATGCATGCAAAGCTACATTATTCCGTATGGAACCAAACGACTGCGGTATGTCTTACCGACGCGAAAACGGTCTAGGCTCTTTGGCAAGTTGGTTGTTCTCAGTAAAATATACAGTTGCATCTTTACAGAATCTGAACTTTGGTTGTATCTAGAGTGGCGTTGATGCTGGACCATTGCTTTAACGGAATTGTTGGGTCTTAATATTTCATTATGTAGCTACATTGTATCAAAGTACAGACGACCAAATCATCTTAACTGCTTGGTTCTTTTCATCGTGTTGGTGAAGAAACAGTGGATCTTCATGTTAATCTTCATGCGGCATTGATTAAAATGGATATTGAGCTATGAACTTGTGATGAGACCTACCCTTGGCCATGCGTGGGTTTGAAGGGCAACCTTAGTCAAATTGGTGATGCCTTCCTCGCTAACTATGTTGAGAGACTGCCAGTTGGGTTTATACAGTCTAAGGCGGCCTCCCAGACCTCTCACTGCACTGTCGAAAGCCTCCGACTTGGGCCGAGGAGCATCAGCTCCTACCTCCACCCTTACTCCGGCGAACGGAATGTCCCGGATGCGCCCTCCGTAGGTCTCTGCGCCCTCCAGGACTAAGAAGTCGGTCTCTCCCTTGGAGATGAGAGTGTCGGCGGCCTGGAGACCCGCTGCTCCCGCCCCAAGAATGAGGAACTTCACCCTGGAGTTAGTGGGCGGTGGCAGCGGGGCCGGTCCTTGCCCCGGACCCTGCGGTGGGACCCCTTGCCCAGGTCTGTAGACTGGAGGCTGGGCAGGCCCCTGGCCGGGGCCGGAGATCGGGGGCTGTGCAGCAGGACCCGACCCTGGACCATAGACTGGGGGCTGTGCTGGGTAGTATCCCGGGCCCTGCCTTGGTGTCTGAGGCGGTGCCGGTGCCTGTCTCTGCGGAGGGTTTGGATTTGGTTGGTGTCCACCCCCTTGGTAACCGGCTCCCATCTGCTGCCAAATGCCTTGCGAAGTAACCAATCCATGTTTCCCCAGTAGGGTAGCCCCAAGAAGAAGGCCAAGAACTTGCATTATGGGCATGGTAAATCCCACTGGTGTTTTTTTTCAGAGAAGAGAAGTTTCAGAACTCATGTGCAAAGTGTCAGTGTCAGTCTGCCAGCAGACTTACGAACGATACGCTAAGCTTCTCTTGTATAATGCTGAACTGCCGCATACGTTCTCTTGTCTTCAAACAGGTTGTGGGTCTTACGATTATCAGGAAGTGATTCACTGCTTGTGGGTTATTCGTCACCACTTCTGTACATTTTTCTGTATTTAGAATCCAGGCTTCCGCTCAAGGCTACCTGGGGAAAAAAAACTTTGTTGGCTAACGCCAAACGGAATTCCACTTGCCCGACTCGAAGCCCACCATTTTAAAACGCCATTTAACTGACTCAGCGAGCTTTGTGGTAGGCCTATTATACACAGCTCCGGTATAATAATTGTTTAGGTATTTGAATATCATTAGGCGTTTAAACTGTGTACACATTTCAGATGAAGCGTCTTTAACAACCCATGACGAGTCTATAGGAGACATACCTGCAGCAATAAAATTCACATCTTTTGAGTCGAGTTCGGCATGTGTACCCTTTAGAACAGTGTTCTCATAAAGACAAAGTGTCTTTGCCAAGCTTGACTAGTGAAGGATACCATAGATGACAACGACGTTTTGGAGTTCAAATCTAGCGAATATTAAAAGCTCTTTAACTTCAAGGAAACCAGTGAATGAAATTGGAGACTCTGTAGGAAAGTACGATTTCTTTTTTTTTCTCCCTCTCAAGTAAGGCAGTAACAAATAGTTCGAGATTTCAATAGTTTTCTGATGTTCCTGCACTTGTACAAATTTCTGGCTTTCTTTCTTTCTTTTTTCTTTTGACTTTCTTGTAACGGATGCATGTATATCTTAATGTCATTCTTCCCGTACTTACTTGGTGATTCCATCCAAAATAGTCGACTCGCTGCTTTGATTATATAAACAAACGGGTAAATTATAAAGAGTGACACAAAAAGCAACGATTTGTGGAATCCAGAGCACAACTCACGTCCAATGTACGCCTTTAAGTAATGCAATCAGGAAATGTCAACTGTTGACTGAATCACATGGGACAGTATGATAGGGTGACAGTGATCGGTGAAACCTTTTAAAGTGGCGCTTCCATCGAGTGAACGCACTCATGACATGGGCACAGATCCCAGCGGATGGGCGATGCATGTGGGAAGACTTTAACCCTTTGATTTTGTCCGACATGTTCAGCCACTTCCGAGGACAGCAAAACCAAAAGTGGCATTGCAGAAGAAAGACACCAAAAATGCTGTACAAGGCATTTAATACGAAGCCTCCCAAAACACATTACATAGGGATTATTTTCCTTAAAAATACATATACCCTAGTCAATTTGTCAGTCATTTGGACAAAAAAATAAACGGCTCTATGAATGAGTTGTGAATCATACAAATGTTGACAATAGATCTGTTATTTAATACCCTCGCACGTTAATTTTATTTAGTGATTACTTTTTGAAGTGTAAAGCGTAAGTGACATTAAAACCTGCAATCTTGAATTACGACACTACCACTCTGATTAAAGCAGCACGTGACAAGTATTTAAAAACACATTTTGACTTGCAAATTGATGTGTATGGCAACGGCCAAAGAGAGCGCCCTCTTTGGGGCAACAGTGGTCAACCCGATAAAATAGTCAAGTTGCAGAGAGGAAGTGTCCGACATTTGGAGGTAATAAGTGGTTAGGCTGCCGCCACTTTCCATACTTCGGACAGAATGCATCCCAATATTAGAAATGCGTAAAATGTTTCAACTCAATTTTCTTAGCTTTTAAACAAGCTGATTGCACGCGCTGCATCTAAGATAGATATCACGTCATACATGCTTTTTGACCGTGGTGGCTCCCTGTACTAATTATAACAGAGGATTAATCTAGGGAATCACCCTATCCAATAAATAATTTTCACAGCGGTCCATCTCTATATATGCAAGGGCAATGGAGACCTCTCATTGATTTGAAATCTCATTAGGGTCGCTGCAGTGCAGCCAATTTGGGAGCCAAACTTCCAGCGTTAATGACGCAAGTCATTACGGGACGTGCATACTCTAATCCTGGCAGTAACCTACCCACAGTGCTTTGCGACATCTGTACCTCAATAATTAATTGAAAACCCGGGATTTGCAGTCATCAGCGCACTCGCAAATAGAGAGACATGTACAAAGAGACAACAATTCTCCTTTTCTGCTCCGTTTTAAAAGAAACTGGCCTACTCCAATTGATTGATTAAGTAAAATAATGGAAAATTCATGGTTGGTCTGATGGAGTATTTTCGTGCGGGCTCTGCAGTCACCGTCTTTCCTGCACATGCAGGAAAACATTCAGTTTGATTTATTGCTGTGGGTAACAGCTGGGCTTGGTAATCAACATACATGCAGCCAGTGGCTACCATTAAAAACATTCTTTATTGATGTCCCTAGTGCAGACAGGTTGTCAATGAAGGATTGCGTGAACAATCACAGGAAACCAGCTGTGAATTTTGTGCGGATTAATTACTGGTTGTCACCGTAAGGTACTTTGGTTCCTGCGATAACAACATTTAATTTTCAGTATTGCCAGCAAGATTTAAAACCAATTGCAAGTAGCGATTTCAAACCAATTGCAAGTAGCGATTTCAGCTTCATCTAAAATCAGCCTCAGACCAGCGTTGTATACTTTCTAAATGACAGTGATACAGGTGCAACATTTATCAAAGTGGCGCAATTTTAGTGTTTCATAAGAGCAACAATATACATATTGGTTTGTGCACAGAGGTGTATACAGGAAACCTCCCCAGGTCAATCAATGGAAATAAACTGCACAGCCAAAAATATTTTACACAGGTGGTCTTTAAAGAAAACAGTTTAAAGAAATTCAGCAGTCTAAAACTCGCTCTTTTGTAGTCTAAAACTCGCTCTTTTGTAGTCTAAAACTCGCTCTTTTGTAGTCCAAAACTCGCTCTTTTGTCTCGTGCAGACATAACACAGGTAGGGGCTAAATTCGCTGCTCTCACATGGAGGCCAAAGGTCACAAATTGTAAATTTAAGTAAAGCCGGAAATATTAATTCACCACGCTCCATATCCATCGGTTCCATTGCCAACCTAACTCCATCACTGCTGCTGCCCCCATCAAAATTCACCACCGCCTCTGTCATCACCACAAAATTACCGCACCATTAACATCACCCCACAAACACCGCTGATACCACCATAAAGTCCACCACCGCCATTACCACCACAGCTAACACCATATGGAGCGTCCAAGTGAGAGGCCAATTTTTCACTTTCAGTTCAGGCAGTAAAATTAATATGCTCTTAAATAATTTTTCGGAGGTGTTTTTTTTGTAGAAGGATATGAACGACAAATAATGCAAATTAAAAATTTGTGCATGTTACTTTTCACATTCGAGGAAGTGCGCCAACACGGGTAAAGTTTCAGGATCCATAGCGCGATGTAACTTGACGCCATGAGAGATCCTAATTGAACCTCGCATCCACGACAAAAAACCTCACGGTATTCATTTCATACCAGTTTTTCTGATGTTCATGCATCCATTACCACCATTAAAACACTGCCGTCAAAAACCAGATCGTTTCAAAGAGTCACAGGCAAGATACACTGTACCCGTTCTTTAGTCTTTCTCGAGAGAGCTAAACGAGACATTGGCATTCATGTATGGGTTCATTCGTGTAATGATACCTAAATTGATGCGCTGTTTTATCAGCATGACACTAATTCAGACACCATTCTTTGCAGAGATGCAAAGTAAAGTGTCATCGGTCATCTATCGCCTTTCTGCCCGAGTACAGGTAACAGAGACAGTAAATTAATTTCAGTGCAAGAATTGTTGGAACATAATTGATCAAGCTTTACCAGACTGTTTACCTGCTATCGATCACTATTGTTCAGAGAGCACAAAAGTGCAAAATCCCTCTAAACACAGTGAGCACTCTCCTGAGTCCAATATTTATAATTTATTTTAAGACTTGAAAGATGTTCTTGTTTCGTCTCGTGGTAGGTCCTGTTCATATTCCAGGGCTTAAGGAGAGGCATTTTTAGAGACGTTTTGCACGCGTTACCAGGGCAGAGATGTATGTTTCGATTATCTCTGGTTTCTTCAAAAGCTTCATCATTAAACTGAAGAACTGACGCACACCGTCAGAATCGATCCAATTTGTTGTTCGATTCATGTCCGATACCCGTCGTCTGTTAAGCTATTTTCTCCCCCGTTACCGTAATGCATTGACACGCCCACGGCGACCGCACCAACGGTAGTGACCGGTCCCGCGCTGATGTGGCACGCCCTGGTGCACCACGGGAAGAGTTTGCAGATGGTCCGCCTGTACGCCACCCGGAAGTCTTTCCCGTAAGCATAGATGAACGGATTGATGGCCGAGTTGGCATGGGACAGCACAATAAAAGCGTCGAAGATGGTGACCGACAGCACGCTGCAAGACGGGCACAGGGCCGTCCGCAAGTTGATGATGGAGAGCGGGAACCAGCACAAGGCAAAAATGACGATGATGACCCCCACGGATTTGACCGCCTTCACGTCTCGCTTATAGGCGGAGAACCGACGCTTCCTGCGGATGTTGGAGTTGGCTATGGCAATACCGCAGCTGACACTTGACGTGTTAGAACTCATACCACCTGCTGGGCCGATGCGTCGGAGCTGGAACGAGCAATAGAAAACAGAATCAAACACAACCAAACCAAGCTGTCGTAATCTTTATTTTTCATATTCTTTCCCTGAGGTTTAAAATTTGATATAACCCAGTGTTATAAATCTACCTTTCTGCTGCTGTGCTCAACAACATGCAAGTGTGGCCATGCTAACATCAAACTCGAACACAAAGAGTTATAATTCACGCTTTTGAAATTTCCCAAGAAGAAAATAAGATTGTAACATAAGGAGATACGAAGACAACCCCATACAGGATTGGTCATTCTGTTCTATGATTTATCTAATCCGTTTGGATTAGTGCGCGAGAACCTGCAAACTCGGCTGTAAAACAATGCCCTCTGCTGTATTGACCGAGGACGCATGGTGTCTATGGTTACCGAAAACTGTAAATACACCATAGTAGCGCTCCCAAAACGCAAACAGGAAACAAACTTAACAGACATGTTTGATATCAATTTAAATTTCCAGTGTCGCCCGGCAGAGTGGTGGGCCTTACGTGAGGAGAATCGTTTCTGCAGAGTAACTCAAACGAAGCTTATACCATCACACGATACGGCCCTGGGCCATGTTATTTATTAAGCGACGTCACTTACAAAGATCCAGGTTAAAAAACCCTACGTCATTTTACATTACTTCTTCCCAAGCGAGTTAACCTCGTTTACCTGAAAGTACAAAAAAACGCCTTATGGACTATCCGCGCAAAGCCAGCTGAATTATTTCCGAGCCCGTAGTTACCAGGCAATTTACGCGCCGAAATTGTGTTCGCGTCAAATGGTGCTTTCGAACACATGCGGACAAAGGTCAATTTAGAAAAAAAAGCTTGATGGGAAAAAGGCCCTGAGGAGCGGAGTAGAATTTGATTGAGCAAGCGCCTTTGGAAACTTCATTTCACTAAATAAATCACTGCAAAAATTGCCGGGGACAGTTGCTTAATATCGGAGCCGGTCAGCCTGGTTTTGATGATACATTGGTTCAGGGGCCACTCGTTCATTTGTTGGTATTGTGTTGTGATCCTTCCCACTGCAGGGCTGAATTTAACTACTGTTGCCTTTCAAGGGCTGTGATTTCATTTTAAATTCAAGAGAAACTGACCAAAAGTACATTTGACGTGTGGTTGGAATGAACAATAGTTGATTGAAATTTATTGAAGAGTTAGCCTTTGACAGTAATGAATTTGTTACATGAATATGCAAAATCATACTAGAGTTAAAAAAATCAGGGACAGTAATCAGGGTTTCCAAATGCATGAAAATCAGTCATTTATCCTTCAACTGTGCTCAAATTGGCATTGGAGATTGACATTTTGCACCACGGAGCATATCCTGCAAAAACTGCATTAATGGTGTCAAGTCCAATCACCAATCCGTGTTTGTTTCATATTACTTTGTTTTATTACCATTGCAAGGAACGATAAGTTACAGCAACAACTGATGTCGCACAGTGTTCACAGCCAGCATTAGTCCGGTGATGGGATGTCGGACAAACACGAACGCGACAAATCTGACAGTCAACGCAAGCATGTCCACATGGCTTCGACAAAATGACTGGCTCTTTTCATTACACGATGCGCCCGATCACCCTTGGTTTGAATCTTTCCTACTGCGAAACCAAAGAAAGGGGAATGACTGTTTTCATCGAAATGGCTGACAGCATTGCACGCTGGATGAAAAGGCTTGACTTTTTTGCGGCAACTTCCCCTCCCCCAGACTGACTGAGTCACGGTAGACACCTTTTTCACCACGCCAATTTTCAGATTTGTATGACGATACTGCTTCAAGGGAACTCAAACGGCAGCTGGCCTGCAGAGATCGGCTATCCTGCCTCTCAGGACAGCCGGGGAGATCGTGATTTTTTTTCTCTCTCTGCTTCCTCCCAGCATCTCAATTTACCGGCGCACGATGATTGACTGCGGCCGTCTGGTCGGCACGAGGAGCGGGGCGGGGGGGGGGGCGTGATTGTGAAATGTTGGTCAAGCCGATGAAATCCCAGGGAATGCGTCTTCTGTTTGGGTGTTGATATTGAGATATGATATTGTGTTCTGCCTTCGACAGGACCCAGCATGGAGGCCGAATAGTGGTGATACGTGAGTGACACTCTATTTGTTTGTGTGATAGTGAGGGAAATGTTGAGCGGGTAAAAGTTCAACGCAGTTTCTTTGAACTTTTGATGCAGTCCAACTCAGTCAAGAGGCAACAGAACCCCGGATGAATGCGAAGGGCCAAAGCTTGAACCACCTGATAGATTTCCCTGTTACCAAATTCCAAACCACAGCGTGATTTTGAAAGATACCGGTACTGCCACGAAAGTAGACTTTGTTACTCTGGCGAATAAATGAGAAAATTAGCGAATGAATAAAACATATTTCAGCAAAATAAAGAGGCAATCGTAAGCAATATCACATCATCGTTCCTCGTGGCAAAGTGACAGTCCGGAACAAAAAAAGATGGAAGAAATCCAATCACGTAAGAGGGACTGCTTTTGACGGACTCTCAGCAAGTTCATTCAGAAGGTTTTGCAAAGTTGTGTGGCTCTTTAATCTTTCCTTTCGCACGATGGTTTCAACTTTTCAACTCAACCTGGGTTGAGCTTTCATTTTGACCGAGGACTGCGCAGTTTTTGCGCCGTAAGCTTGGACGCCATGAGCTTAATTGAGTCGTGCCTAAACCCCGGCATTAGCTGATAATAGAGGGGCCAAGCATTCATGACGTCATAGCACGCGGATGCTGAGATAATGGCGCGATGTCTTTCACGGAGAGCTCTTGAATATTGAGGGAAGTCCTTGAACTTCACATTCTTAGTCTAATCATGTAAAAGGCGCCCTAATCTGACCAATAAAGTACATGTACTGAAAACTTTCAGTCATGGCAAGTAAGCGCCAGTGTTGCCAGTTGCTGGTTTGGTCAGGTAAAGAAGTTTGAACACTATGCAAAAATTGTGCAAACAAACACTTCACGTCATGGGATTAGTTATTATGATATAGGTGAAGAACAGAAGTATTCGGCCAAGGAAAGATAGACACGTATAATGCAACTCAGACCGTCCCTCTTAAACAGTGGAAACGGCAGTGATTAAGAACCGTATTCAGCGAGTTAGAACAAATGTCCGGATGTTTCCTACTGCAAAAGACTTCTAAGATTACGGGCTACCAAGCACAACAATACGCATATTCAATCAGTTACCGTGCGAGGTGCGCAATGAAAGTTACCATTTTTCATGACCAAAGGGGTTTAATGTGTTTTCCTCTTAGGAAGAGCCAGATGAATTCAAATATTAGATTCACATGATTAGATGGTTGTCCTAAATTTTGTTCAAAACTAACTCGGATATTGTTTCTCCTACATGTAAAAGGTGGAGATAAAACATCGTCAAAAGTTGTCATTTCATTCGATGAAGACCTAAAAAAAATAGAACAGACAACCCCACCTCCCCGTGAGTGGCAGATTAATTTTATGGAAACAACTGACAGCAGGTGGTGCGTCGAAAATCATTTATCAGAGGCAACAACTCTCAATCAAACCACCCGCCCCCATTTTTAACATAAAACTGCAGCCCGAGAGGAGACTACGTTCGTGTATTACTGAAGCTGACTCCAATCAAGTACGCGATGCATGGTCAGCTGCACTGCTATAAGAAGTAATGCCCGATTAGTAAGAGCTTTGGAGGATAGAAAATGATAACGGTCCAATGATATACTTTACGATCGAAAATTTATAAACTTTCGATAATGTTTGAGTGGTTTTATAAATAAGAGGTCAAAGTAAGAACCATCCGAATCGTAAGTGTGACTTCACTTCTTTTAAACCACGCCCACTGCACATAGAGTTACATGTACACGGTACGGGAAGTTAACGCGCAACTTGGGTTTTCGACCAATGGGAGCCTGTAATCAGTAGTGCGTCCGCGTGTATGGCGAAGTCACGAACCGGATAGTTTTGATACTGCAGGAAAACAGTGAAAAGTGACACCAATTTCGGAGGGCTGTGATGAGTGGGTCGAAGACCTTTGGTATACTTTTTAAAAATGGGCAATTTTTGCAGACCAAGGGTAACGAAATACATATCAAATGCCAAGACACGTGGATGAATTTTTTCCATTCAAACACTGTTGCAGTGCTGTCCATGCCATTTTTGGGTCCCATGTCACTTTCCGTCTCTCACCATGAGAGTATTAATTACAAAGATAAAGTTTCTGGTATATCATATTAAAGCATATCACAACACTGCTTTATTATATACAGAGGACTCTTGGATGAGTTCTTGTTGATTTATAATATGTATTTTATACTGGGATCCTTCCACTTTTTGAAGAGTGCAGGGGGAATTCGAGTCCATCAGTAAAACCGAATGGCACACTCGCAAACCCAATTGTGCATCGTGGTTTATTTATCTTTGTTTAAATTATTTATAGCATTTTCAATGATGGGCGTAAGCTTCGAACTGTCAACACAGTTTGTCAGTAACACCTGTCATGAGCCGGTTTCAGAAACGTTCATCAACAAATGGAGATGCAGATCGGATGAAAATCCGTGCTGGGGAAATCAGGCGTCATATAAACTGCTTCTGGGGCGCGCCGGTCGAGTTTGGAGTTCGTGTCTGAATTGTCTGAATTGTAACAATAAAGGCCAGCGACCCAAAGATAAACTTTTTAATGAATTTGTTTGTTGTCCATCTTTGCTTTGAGTCAGACGGCATGCACGGCATTTGACGTTAAGCTATACGTTAACCTAGAAGTTGAGAGAAGAAAATTTTGGCGCTCTCTAAAATGGACCAAACTCTTCCCAGGTCACGGTGATCACTTTATTTTTCGCCCTCGTCTGTAACAGTTTATAATAAAAACTGTGTTTTATGGGACATGTCATCATTGTTGATTATACAACTGGATCCGTGCCGTACGTGCGCTGGTTGCTTCGAGGTTGGCTTTGGCTACCACGACGAACATAATTAACCCCTGACCAGTTTCCCAAAATAGTTGACCTTTAACCTTTCCGT